GTTTTTAGCAGACTAAGGTTCTGTGATACTCAGGACAATAAAACAAAAACAAAAACAAAAAAGAAAAAAGAAAGGAGATATGGTTACATTTAATCTTTCACCTTTCTTTAAGGGCAGATGAGCCAGTTTCTTCCTGCAGTAGAAGATGTATTGAATGCTGAAGGATTTAGGAAGCTCCATGATAACTTTCTAGAATAGCAGCTGCTAGGAACACAGATTCTTCTAGTCTTATTTAACTAAAATTTAAAGATGATTAAAAATTATATGCTGTTATTTTTCCAGTATATCTCTTGAGATTGTTTTCTGTTTTATTTCATAGACTACAGAGGCAGTGAGGCATAGTCCACATTAAGACATGCTGTGGAAAATGCTTTAGTTTGAATTTATTAAATTTTTTTACTTTGAATATAAAGTTTTAGTTATGAATAAATAATTGTGTTAACTTTAAAGTTATCAGAACTGTTCTTTAGGTTACATGGAAATGATAAGGGTCCTTTATATATTTACCATGACCTCCTTAAAGTCTGAATGTAAAAGAAATAAAATATGTGAATTGAAACTTATTGCTTGAGGTAATCAAACCCCTGGCCCTTCATCCCCAAATACAAATACAAACCCCACCTATTTTCTCCAACTATTCAGATTTATTAAACACAAATAAAAAGAAATAGTAAAACAAAATATAGAAATTAAAACAATAGCACAAATACTATTTCTTCCCTAATATGTTAATGAAAAATAATAAAATTTGTATATTTCCTAATACAAATTACACATTCAGTAAATATTTTGTAAGTCAGCTGAACAGCTAAGAACATAAAGGCAGCAACTGGTCACTTTTGTTTACCTCTTGAAAGATTAAAAGGATCAGATCCCTTATAAAAATGGAGATCCTACTGCCTGAACTTTGTGCTGAGTAATTCTGAGGCCCAGGATCAGTAGAAACTCAAGCACTGGGGTGCCCTTTCTTCATTGGGTCCACTGTGGCCCGCTAGATCAGGGTTAGTGTTCACTGTGTGTCCTTATCTGAATTCTAAATGGATATCGTTCTGCCATAGATAGTTTTCACTTTACTATTTTTATTTTATGAACATTGCCATTTGGCCTGCATGTATGCCTGTGTGTTTGGGTAGGGTGTGTATGTGGGTCAAATCCCCTGGAACCGAAGTTACAAGTAGTTGTGAGCTGCCATGTGGTTACTGATAATTGAACCCAGGGCCTCTGGAAGGGTAACAGCCAGTGCTTTAAACAGTGAGTCATCTGTTGAGCCTGTTTCTCATTTTAAAAGAACTTATTTTAATTCTACTAGGTTTGGGCACAACCATTAGTGAACATTATTTTTGTTTTTTGGATTTTTGGTTTTTGGGGATTTTTTTTGTTTGTTTTGGTTTTGTCTTGTTTGTTTTGCTTTTGACACAGTCTTATATTATCTGGCTAGGACTCACTCAGTATTCTACGCCAGTCTTGAATTCCTTGCAATAGCTTGAGAGTTGGAATTACAGGGAAGAGCCATAACTCCCAGCTTCATCTTTTATATTTAATAGCTTGATATTAATACCGCCATGCACTGCTGGGCCATTTTTTTTCTCTTAGCCTGTAGCTCTACAAGGATCTCAGCTCCCCAGCGTCTTTTTCTCTGCTGAGGAGAACACAGTTCATGCTGTTATCCCATGTTACTGCATTTTATATCTTATAAAATATCTTATATTCTTTTTTAATCTTTAGCTTAGTTACAATCAAATCTGCTTTCCTTTGGTATGGATGGATATCTAGAGCAAATCTTGAAAGCATTTTGTCTAACTGAATAAATTTTAGGAATCAGAAAACATTGTTCTCTACTGTGCATCACGTCAAGTCTCAAGTGTTACAAATCATTACATTTTAGGGCTACAAATTGTTAATATTTTAGTATAATTTTGTCAATTAAGAAATGAATCAAATATCATTTATAGCATTGTTTTTATGTGAGATGCATTTTAGATCCTAAAGATTGAATTTATGAATGAAACTTAGAAAACAACCACTCTCAGTACCATTTTTTTTTTCCTCCAAATGCAACCTTGGAAACAAACCCAAATCACCTTTCCTTTACTCCCCTGACCTCCTCTCCCCCTACTCTGTTTCTTCTTTTCTGATTTATCTAGGATGCTCCCGGATTTGGAAAACCACATAACCCATTCCTATCTTCTCAAGATTTATTTATTTCAGAATGCCAGTTGACTCGCAGTTGTAAATTTGTGTCTATTTATTTTTCTTTTCAGACCCTTGCCTCAGTGGGCTCACCATGTGGGAAGCAGGAATTAATTTTATGGGTCAGATGTTCCCTGTTGTTTACCTTCTAGCGCCGATGGTGATTTTTGCTTTCTTCCAGTGCCTGAGGTAATCACAACATTTTGTATTTTTATAGTTCAGAAGACAGGGCCCTGTCCCCTAACTCTCATTTAAGTGTACTTTTACCTTAGAGTTGAGCATACTGAGCTGGAAAATAGTATCTAACTTGTTTGTACTAAAACTAAAAGAATGAGAAAATTCTCCAGGCAGAAATGACTACTCAAGAGGAGATTGTGAACTTCAGTCTCTTCAGTCTCAAAGATTTGTCATAATTTTATCAGTGGTGTATCCTTTTAGACACCCACAGTAGTTGTCTTAGTGGGATCAATATAAAGGACAGATTGAAATTTTTGAAGAAACAGTGCCTATTAGATTTATAATGTGTTAAAATATAAGTTATTTCTTTAGAGAGCTTAGTATAGTTTTGGAGTCAGAATCAATAATTGTATAGGTTATGAATGGAGTGTTTTCAGGTTTTTTGTTTGTTTTTTTACTATGGTAAAGATCGTTAACTAGATGGTTTCAAATCAATGTGTGTACCCTTGGTTTCATTAATAATACATATGGAATTTTTAATTTCAAATTAATGTAAATATGAAAAAAATTAAATCCAAATTTAATTTGAATATTTCTATTTTCTCTGTCACTAGAATATGCAACTGATATTTTCTATCAGCTGTTTTATTGCTTTTCATTAAGCTGTGTAGTTTATAGCAACAAGCTGACATGTATAATTTGAATGGTAAATCTAATTTTCCATCTCAAAAATTCTGATTCATGCCTAGAATGGAATCTCAGAACACATTATTTCTATGACCTGATTTTAGGCTACATGTTGAGATGTTTCCAACATATTTGTAGACTAGAAGACAGCATCAAAGTAGAAGAGAATCAAACAGAAATATTTTAAACTCTATGTGGTAAGAATCACCATCAGGATGGCAGGCATCTGTCTTTCATTATGGAATGTTTGGAGTTTTCATTTTACATCAGTGCTGCCATAATTATTTCACAGAAAATTAAAGTGCTCTTGACACCGGGTCTGAGCGGTTTTAGAACTGACCACTCTTTTAATAACCCGTGTGATGAAATTATGGTAATTTGTAAAAGCACTCTTCAACAATAACAGCTGTGACCCTCTACAGTCATGTGTTCCTGTAAGGAAGACAGACAGTTCTAGCCCTGAAGTAATTTATCCCTAAAAGAAAAACCCTTTGTTATGACACGATCCCACTGAACACACCAACATACTCTCTGTATACTCATTTTTTTAAACTTTAAACGTTTTGTTATTTTTGTTTGGATAAACAATCTCACTTTGTGACCCAAGCCAGCCTTGAACTCCACAGCTATCCCACTGACTCAGATTCCTGAGTGCTAGGATTAGAGGGATGAGCCATTATGCCGGTTTTATATAACTTCTAGTATAGATATAAATAATAAAATAGACAAGAAGAAGAAACTTTTTCTAATAATAATATTCCTCATACATAAAGCGACAGTAATGTCAGATGTGATGACTGGGGAATCCCATGAGTCAGGAACGCTGAAGTCCAAATAAAAATCTGTGAGTTACCAATATACTACAAAAGACTGTGTTTATGCCCAGGAAAAGTGTGCTTGAAATATCTTAGAAATAATTAGTAGCAATAATTTGATTGGTTAATGAAGAGTCTAAGAGTGATAATTGAATTTGATAGCATTCATTAGATAAGACATTCAAGCAGATACTTTACATCCTCATTACAATCTCTAACACATGTAACTGTTACAAGTGATACCTTCACCCCCCTGTACCATACCAAAGACTGAGACCTGCCACAGCCCTAGAAAGCACTCCTTGGAAACAAATTTTGTTTACACCTCCTGCCTCCCCACTCCACTCCCCTGACCCAGTACTCTTGCTATAATATCATCTGTGTGGCAGGCCCCCAAAGCACAGAGGCATATGCTGTGGTCTATTTTTTTTTCAGAATGCCAGGCTGTTCATGGTCATCTGCAGATAATGAGCCATGACAACTTTGGAACCGATGCAGTACAAACTAACTGGGGAAAACATCCCAAGTGTTACCCAAGGAGCCCACGAACTAACACTAGCTCTTCAAACACACTAAAAAAAAAAAATGGTCCCAATTCCAGAATATATGTCAAATACTAATGTCTCCTGAATAGAATGAAACAAAAATTAAAAAGCCAGTTTGAGATAAATAATCTTCCTTGTCAACCTGATTGAATTTAGGATCACTTTAGAGATGGGTGCAACACACTTCTGTGTTTGTGGCGTGTCACTGAGCAAAGGAAGACCCTCCATGGATATGGATAACACTATTGATGTGGACCAGGATAGAATAAAAGGGGGGTGGGGTAAGGAGAATGTTATCTGAGCACCAGCAGCCCTTTTATCAGCTTCCTGGCCAACATGCTATGAAATTAACTTTGCTGCCCTCCCCCGCCTACCACTACAGACTGAATAGTGTAAAACTGTTGTACAACATAGAACTATTTCCTACCATACGTTGTTTATACAAGTGATTCTGTAAACACAGTAAGAAAAGTAACTAAGACATCCTCACTGTCTCCACAAATGCCCCCACTACATCCTGGTATGGACTGGGAAGGTTATAGGTCATCAGCAAAACCTAACACAAACATCTTGCTTTTCTGACTACCTTAGTGAGATGTTCCCGGTGGAGCTCTCGGAATGGCAGAGTCTTCCGATCTGACTGCAGATGTTGGTTGTTCAAGCACTCTCAAGTCTTCCTTTCCTTGAGAGAGAAAGCATGGAAAGAATCCATGAGCACACTGCTGCCTTGCAATTCTGCACATGCTTTTATTACTGACTCGAAATATACTTCTGTGTATACAGCCCTCACAACTGAATTAATTATTCATACCCTGCTTCCTGGACTCCTTGTTGGGATGGGTGCTCCAGGCTCAGAACCAATAGGTATGAATCATGTGGCTATTGAAAATCTCCAACCAAACAATCAAACATGCAAACAAAAATCTGGAATAATAAAACATCTCAGAAGAGCAACTTGGTTTTTTAAGAGCAACTTTTTCATATTCCTTCTGAGCTACCCTGTTCTGAGTCCACAGAGGAGAAACAGCCTGCGCTGCCACGGAAGGTCCCCAGTGGAATTAGCAGTAGCAGGGGATTATCTTCTTGGTTCAGATTTTGTTTTGCTAACAAGGCTCCATGTTAGGAGGCAGGAGAGCTATCTTTTCCTGGCAATGTTCCCCCATCTTTCCAGAATCATTGAAAAGCTAACCGAGTCTATTCTGATTTGGACATCTCTTTGTGAGCCACAGCAGCTGCAGCAGGGCTCATCAAAAGGGAAGACATTGCTATTTACCCAGGGAAGATATTGAAATGCTGCATGTTGTACACAAGCATCTGATTGGTAACGATGCTGTGTCAAGAATCCTAGTGGCTCCTTCCCTTAGCCAATGTCTCCCTCCTCTCTTTTCCACACGGATTTTCTCTCTTCTTTTTTCAGCCTCCGTTTCTGCTTCCATCTACTCCCTGTTGCACACACCTACTCTTTGACATACAGATAAAAATAACTTTGCCTCCGATTTCGACACATCAACCCTATGATCCTATAGTTTAAGATGTAGAATATCAGGTCTGGAGAACTCAAGGGACTTTATCGGAAGTTTGAAATAAGGCTTTGCATAAGCAGCATGTTGGACACCATAAATGTATGTAGCTTGTCATTGGTCAGTTGAAACGTTAAGTTAATTAAAAAAAATGAATTGAGGTGCCTATAGCAACCAGACAAATCTGTTCTCTTTATAGTTTAGTTTTCAACTCTCTGGAGGAAGCTTACATGGTAACATCCTGTTATTTGAGGATTCAAGTTTTCCTACTGTATCATAAGTAAATACGTAATTCCCTGCAGCTCTTTATCATCACCAGAATACGATTTAATAATTCACCTGCCATTGTTCAGCAATGCTTTTTATCAACTAATGGATCAGGATCACGCTAGCATAAACCCGCCAGATAATGTGATGGTTTTCTGTGTTTGAGAAAAATCACAGTCCTTGATTTTAAATAACTGATGATATGCGTGAGTTTATTTGTTGAGTGGCTTTTGAGTCAGTTTCCTGGTATAACAGGCTCAGGTTATCTCTATCTACTTGTTTAAAACTGTAATTTATTCAGTGAAAGTTCGATACTTCAGCCGTGCATTTTTTGGGGGAGGCTGGAAGTTCTTAGAGATAAAAAGTATAAAAAAAAAAATAGGTGCTTCCATCTTGAGAAAAATTGGACATAAAAAAAGAGATAAATTGCCAAGTAACACAATGCATATTGAGAATACGCCAAGCACACATGAGATTTTTTTTTTCACCCTCAAGAATAATTCTAGCTGCTCACTGAGAATGAAGCAAAGGTGATTATCACTGACATAGGTAGAGGTGTGTGTGTGTGTGTGTGTGTGTGTGTGTGTGTGTGTCCTTCATCAAATTAAAGGGCACAAGGTAATCGAACTTTACATTTCTGAGCTATTACAACCTGGGATTATTTAATAGTTTACATAATTGTATCCCTTCACAACTGTATTATTTTCCACCGTGGTTTCCGGCACAAAGTAGTTTTTCCCACCAGCAAACATCTGTAAGGTTTCTTTCATGACTTTGTGTTTCAAAAATATTACTTTCTCAGAGAAGAGGGCTACTAGCATCAAATTCTCCATGACAGAGAATATATGAGTAAGCAAAACATATGAATTCTGGAAGCCAAACGGTAGAAACGAAAAGCCATCTGTCATTGGGAATGTGGGCTTACTTGCAAGCCATGGACTTCCAGTTGTGTGCTGCAGAACAGTGGTAGCACAGACTTCCATAGACTAGAAGACTGGTTTACATAGTCACACGATTAAAGAAAATAAAGCCACTACCAGCATAGATGAAGAAGTGTCTTTGTGGCATGGTGGAGCATCTCTCGAGTATATGGTATTAAAAACAAAGACATCAGGAATTTCACAGGCAAATGGATTCAACTTGAGCCTTGGGGCTCTCAGAGACTAAACCACAAAGCAAAGAGCACCCCTGCCACTCCCGCATATATGTAGCAAATGTGCAGCTTGGTTCATGAAGATCCTGAACTACTGGAGTGGGGGCTATTATAAAAGCTGTTGCCTGTCCGTGAGGTATGTTCTAGCTAGGCTGCCTTGTGTGGACACAGTGGGAGAGGATGTGCATAGCCCAGCAGAGTCTTGATGTGCCAGGATGGGAGGAGTATACCCAGGGGGCCACACCTGCTTAGTGGAGAAGGGAAGGGGGAAGTAGGGGAAGGACTGTGGGAGGGGTGACAAGAAGGGTGTCAATAAGCAAGATGTAACTTGAATAAGAAAAAAAAATTCCCAACCCCAGTCAGAAACTGCTTTGCCCTGAGCTGCATAAAACTATACATCATCATCTGCAGACATTTTCTATAGAAATCAATTTTTTTAATTTTCTTAGAAACAGTTCTACGCTAGGCAGAGTCCAAGGAATAAAGAAGATAGGAAGTACTGACTTGATCTTCATGCCACTCTAGGGTGATTGCCAGACTATCCTTGGAGTGAGATGTCTTTTAATTTATCAATTGTTTTCACCCATTTCACAGATGTACTATAAATTTTACTGGGTAGACATGGATTACTGTAATATTCTAAGCATCTGAAATAACCTGGGCTTAAGATACATCTTCCTGCCAAGAAAAACTGCCCAAATGACTTCCCCAGAAAACAATTTTGAAATGTGTTTATTTTTGCCTCATTTTGAATTTTTTTTTTAGTAGCTAGATTATTTTGGTTTACACATAACAGACTTCCTCATGGCAGTTTTCATTTTCTTCGTTTTGGTTGGTTTTCCCCTCAATGTGCTTTCCCTTCCCCATCTCCTTACCCTCCCTCATCCTGGCATAAATCCCTCCCTCTATTTCTAGTGTCCCCCTTTCTCTTTGACAGCACATACACTCTACGCTTTTCCTACAATGTTCCCTTTAGGGCTCATTTTATTCCCTGTCTTGGGGGCACCTTTCTAGTTTCCCGGCATCTACACTTACACGAAATACACATATGAAAATATCAGAAGCTAAGGTTTGCATATGCAGGGTAACATACACTATTTGCTTGTCAGAGCCTGGGCCATCTCACGTTATACACTTCCCAGTGCTATGCATTTTCTTGCAAATTTCATAATGTCATCTTTCCTTCTGGCTGAATAGCACTCTATCATGGAGGACATTTTCACTATCATCAGCTGATGGGCAACTAGATTGGTTCCACTTCCTAGCTGTTGCCAGCTGAGCGACAGTGAACAAATATTTCCTTAGTAGTATAGACAGACCTCTGGGGATATCCCTAACAGTCAGCTCAATAACGTGAAAGTTCTACCATTAGTATTTGGAAAAGTGCTACACTGTTTTCCATAATGGCTGTACCCATTCAGTCTCTCACAGAAATGAATGAGGGCTCTTCATTCCTTACCAGCACTGTCCCTCCTTTGTTTTCTTGAGGATAGCCATGATGGCAGAGGTGGAATAGAATCTCAACGTAGACGTCATTTGCATTAGCCTCATAGCTAAAGATGTGGAATGGTTTAAAAATATTTATTGCCAGATAGCATTCTTCTTTTGAAAACAGTGAGCCTGGGTTGTTTGTTTTCTTGTCTGTTTTCATTGCTGTTCTTTATGTTAGCCGACAGAGATTTCTCCCTCATGTGGCTGACTGTCTCTTCACTCACTTAACTGGCCCCTTTTTTGTTCAAGAGACTCATAATTTTACAGGTCGTCCCATTTGCTGAAGGTTGGCTGTTTAGTGTCATTTTTTAAAAGGCTAATTGGAATAGTCCTTTAATATGGAAAATTAACTTTCTAGAAGCCAACGTAGGGTAAAGGATTCAGCGAATCTTCGCAATGCAAGTAGAAATGATTAGTTTAGGGTATATGACCTCACACATCTGACCTCATGGATAAGCAAATCAGAGACAATAAAGTAGCCAATTACCCAAGACGTGAACATTTAAAAATAATTACAGTTGATGGTTTTTTCCCCCAAAATGTTCTATATTTGCATGAGAGGAGTCTTGTGTACAACAGGCAAAGGAAAAAAGAAATGGAGGCAAGAGGCGAGAAAGTGACAGACTGGACTTTTCATTTCTTTTTCCTAGCTGAGGAAACACTTTAGGGTTAGATAGTTTCTAATTTTACTAGAAACCTAGAAAGAAAAAGCAAATGAACAAAATGTAAAATTCATAGCCAAACAACAACAAAACCCATCAGGAATTATCGTTTTTTTTTTTTCTTGCTACTACCTCCTCATGGACTATACTACCGAGTCGGTAAATTCCATAGACAGCATGCAAAATTACTGCATTTATATACTTATTTATAGGCTTGCAACAAGGTTTCCTGTGTCTACTCCTTGAAAGATGATCATAAACGGAAACTCTGACGCCCAAATGTACAATTGGTTGGTGGCATCAATGAAGTCTCAGCCCATTTGCTAGACCTCAGTCTCGTGACAGACACCATGTCATAGAGATTATACGCTGCCCCTACTCATTATCCACACAGGCTACGACAGACCAGTATAGCATATTGCCTCTGTCTGAAAATTCAGAGTTCTTAAAAGTAACATAAAATACATAGAAAATTTTGCTTTGTTACAACTATGGTGTTTTGTCCTTTTAACAATAATGTTTGGGAAAAATCTTTTATAGCAGTTTTCTTTGTGAGATGAAAGGTACGAGGGTATTTAGTATAATTTTT